GCTGGGCTGTTCCCCAGGGCTGGAGCAGCTCTGCAGGGGGGTCTCACAGGAGCAGAGGGGGAGAACCCCTTCCCTTGACCTTCTGGTCATGCCTCTTTTGCACCTCCAGCACATCTGGCCCGTGACAGCTTCTGCTGTGCCAAATCTCCAGACCAGTCTCCAAAATGAACCGAAGCTTCCCAACAAGAAGCAGCCCCTTCTTTCATTTATTTTTTAACATGAGTAAAACAAAAACTGTCTGAAAACGTGGCACAAACCAAAACCTTCCAATAACAAACAAGCCCACAGGACAGCCAGCCAGCTCTGGAAATGTGAATTGAAGTGGTTTAAGTCTGGCAGGAGCTAAACCCAAAGCCTTACAAATTGAAACCTGTTTTAATAGTGGAAGTGACACCACTTCTGCTTCTCATTACCCCCCGAGTGTTGTGATACTTCAGCCTCACAGAAGGCAAAGCATCTTGGAAACCCATTTCCCAGCCAGTGGAAAGCAGGAATCAGAATGAGAATCCCTCAGGAAGCGTAGAAATGGGACAGCTTTGATAGCTGGGTGTGGAAATTCAGGGTGTGAAAGCCAGAAGGTGAAACCTGGGTGGTTTCCACCGAGCCCTCACTGGTGGCAGACAACTGGTTACGAGCAGAGCTCCACCATCCAAACACATCCCAGATTCCTCTGGAGAACCAAGGAGCAGCAGGAGGATCAGCTTGTCCAGCTACAGACAGAGGATGAACCTCTGGAAGCTGCCCCAGAGGCCCAGGACGTGCTCCTGGATGAGGCTTTGAGTTGAGCAGCTCCCCTGCAAACCAGGCCTTGTCAGGAGCCTGTGAGTCAACCTTTGCTGCCAAGGAATAATGACATGGAAATGGGAGTCAGAGCATTAAAAAGTGCTTTGGAGTGAATGTGTGCAGGGATAAGTTGCCTCCTGTGATTCACATCCTAACCCATCGTTCACTCAATAAATGGAGATTGGAGATTTTCCTCTATATTTGCGAGTTATTTTTAAGCTGGGCTTAAGTTATTTGGTTTAGCTCCAAGTCAGCACTTTTGGCCACTAATTCGCAGTTATTCCGAGGTGGGAACATGCAGATCTGCCTCTGGAGTTGGAAAAAAAGATGCCAAAATCATCAAATTATTCGTTCTCTTGGTTTTATTTTCCTGAAGAACAGAAAAATCTCAGAGCGAAGCACAAACAGACATTTTTCCTGGGAATTTCACAAGGAGCTGTGCCAAGGTCCTCATGGGAACCAGTAAGGTGGGTTGGGAACCAGTGAGGTCCATGGGAACCAGTAAGGTTGACTGGGAACCAGTAGGGTGGGTTGGGAACCAGTAGGGTGGCTTGGGAACCAGTAAGGTGAATTGGGAACCAGTAAGGTCGATGGAAACCAGTAAGGTGAATTGGGAACAAGTAGGGTGGGTTGGGAACCAGTAAGGTCGATGGGAACCAGTAAGGTCGATGGGCACCAGTAGGGTGGGTTGGGAACCAGTAGGGTGGATTGGGAACCAGTAAGGTTGATGGGAACCAGTAAGGTTGATGGGAACCAGTAAGGTGGATTGGGAA